CCCCCTTCCTGGCATTCTTTCTCTTCTCACCCACCAGAATGTGAGCTCCATGAGCACAAGGGTCGTTGTCTGCTCGCTGTGTCCCCAGTGTCTAGAACAAGGCCTGGCGCAAGATGGGTGTTCCCTAAGTACTTGTGGAATGGAAGAGTGAAGGACCAGCAGGATGCATGCTGATGACAATTGTGTTTCCCACTTGTCAAGGACTTCTGGGTCCCAGGCCCTATGTGAGGGAGCCCTTGCACAAACTCGGGAGAGGAGGAAACAGCTGGAGAGGTGCCCCCAGCTCAGCAGGCAGGGAGGAGGCAGAGCTGTGACACCCACCATCCCTCCCTGCTGTGTTTTCCCCACACAGGAAAAGAAAAAAGCCATACAGGAGGAGGAGGAGCGGGACCACGCACTGCAGGCGAAGGCAAGCCTCACCATCCCACTGGTACCAGAGACAGAGGACGACCGGAGACTGGCTGCCCTGCTCAAGTTCCACACACTAGACTGTGCGTGGGGGGGCCGATGGGCACAGGGGGCGGGGCGGAGAGAGATGGGGGTTTTCAGCCACAAGTGGGCCAGGGCAGGCCAGGGCAGAGGGTGGCCTTCTACCTCTTTCCTCCCCTTTCCTCCCTGCCCCCAGCGTACGAGGACAAGCAGAAACTCAAGCGGACGGAGATCAGCAGCCGCTCCTGGTTCCCCGGCACCCCAGGACCTGGTCACAGCAGCAGCAAAGCTAGCAGCGTTCTGAAGAAACTGGCCCAGAACCACAGGCCTGTGCCAGCCAGCACCCCCATCACTGGGGGGGACCTGGGCATTGTGCGGCGGCGGTCCCGGGAGGTCTCAGAGAGCCCCCAGTGTGCAGCCGTGATCCCCAGGTCCAGAGAGACACACCCAGATGGGACCACCCAGGACAGGCCTGCATCCCCCCAAGACTGCTCTCAGGAGACAGCCGAGACCCTCAAGACCAGTGAGCCTCAGGGGCAGGAGCAGAGATCTCAGGACAGGCCCCAGTCTGAGGATGTGCCCCACCTCTGTGCCCTCAGCTCCTCCCTCGTGGCTGACTACTCCGACTCGGAGAGTGAATAAGCCATTCCAGGGGCTGAATATGTGCTCTGGAGGCCAAGACGCACCCAGGAGACCCCTCACAGACTGCAGCCCCCCTCTCCCACCAGCCCTTGGAAAGCTCAGATGCTGCCCCATCCCCAGAGCCTTCCCACCATGATGGAGTTATTTATTTGGTCCTGGAGAGGGTATTTGTGCCTTGTAGGACCCCTGACATCCCAACATTAAAGCGCTGCTTCTTTACCCCTGCCTCCAGTTACCCAGGGACTGTCCTTTCCCACCTTAGCTCCCAACCAGGTTTGACAGGCCTCTCAGCATGATGGTGATTCTGGGTCTGCAGCTGTGACCCCAACCATGGTCCCCATCCAGCATGACGTCGCCCAGGTAGTGGCTCAGGCTGGCCTGAAATCTGGGCAGACTTCCTGGAGAAGGCAGCACAGGTTGTGTATGAAGGATGGAAAGGGGACCAGGCAGCAGGAACCATGCAGGAAAGACCAGGCTGGGGGCACACAGGGTACAAGACCTTTGCCAGACATGGCCAGGCTGGAACACGCAGGTGTGGGCTGCTCATTACTCCCAGCCCTTGGGAATGCCTTCATGAGAAAGGAATGTTGCTTCTTTTGAAGACAACTGGTAAACTGAGCGGAAAATGGCCCCAAAACAGTGGCAAATCCATCAGGAGATATTGTCTAACACTTCTCCCTGAACTTTAGCAAAGGAAGATCATTTCACAAAAACTGATAGGACACCTGCAGCTTGTCAGGCATGTCCTCGCCACTGGGATACAGCAGTGAATAAAATATGCGGCCCTGAGGCTGAGGTTGCAGCTGAATTGGCAATCTGTTTTGTCTCTCTCGAGGTAGTGGCCTCAGTGGCTGCCCCCAGCCCACCAGCCTTTACTTCCCATTGGAATAGGAAGGTTTCAGGGCAGCAGTACAAACCCGTTCTTGGAATCCCCAATTACAGCCTTTCTGTGCATGAGGCCACCAGCAGCGCTCCGGCTGGAGAACTCTGCCATCTGCGGGTGCCCATTTGTAGTTTGGGGGTCGTGCTATGTATGACCCTCCTCTAGTCAGCCTAACGCTAAACACGGGGCCTGGCATCTAGGAGTTGCCCTATAACGGCGCCACCTTTGTGGTTCCGGGAGAGGGGGTAAGCTATCCTGGGTAGGTCAGGGAGGTGTGTTAGGACCCGCACCGTGGACAGAGGTACCAGAGGGGTTGATGTGCGCGTGCGCTTCCTTCGGGACGCCCGCCCCTAGAACTCCGGCCCCGCCCCCTGCACGCGCCACGGTTGCTTCCCGCTGCGCTGGCAGGGAGGCTGTGAGCAAGGCGGCGAAACCATGTCTCTGGAGGCGATCCGCTATTCGCGGGGTTCGCTGCAGATCCTCAACCAGCTACTGCTGCCCCAACAGAGGCACTACGAGGCGGTGGGCTCGGTGCGCCAGGCCTGGGAGGCCATCCGTGCCATGAAGGTGGGGCCGCGCGGCGGGGCCTAGGTGGGGGGGCACCCACGCCCGCAGCCCCTAAAGCCCCGATCCCTCGCGTCCAGGTGCGCGGCGCCCCCGCCATCGCGCTTGTGGGCTGCCTCAGCCTCTCCGTGGAACTGCAGAAGGGCGCCGGGGGGCCGGGGCTCGCCGCGCTCTTGGCCTTCGTGCGCGATGCGCTGAGCTTCCTCGTCACCGCCCGTCCCACCGCCGTCAACATGGCCCGCGCCGCCCGCGACCTAGCCGACGCTGCAGCCCTGGAGGCGGAGCGCGAAGGCGCCACGGAGGAGGCGGTCCGGGAGAGGTAGGGGGGTCCTTGTGCGCGGCGCTGCCCCAAGAGGAGACTGTTAAACTCATTTTTTGTGCACAGTAACCCGTTTAACAGATGGGGAGGCAGAGGCACCTCAGTCTTATTCCAAGGCCACACGGGCAGAACTAGGAATCAACACCGGGCAGCCCAGCCCCGAAATCGGTGCATTCAGTCCCTCGCTCTGATCATGCCCAGACCTGTCCGCCCTTCGAGGTCCTTTTCAGAGCCGTGTCATTCTCCTGGTTTTTGCTTTTGTGTTTTGTTCCTGCCCTCACCCCTTCCCTTCCCTCTTTTCCCACTCCCCTGACTCCACTGCAACTACACCATTACCCTACATGTTTTTTATCCTACTAGGCTCACTCCTGCCTCAGGGCCTTTGTACATGCCATTTCTACAGGCTTGGTATCCACAGAGCTGAATCCCTGTCCTTCAGGGTTTCTGGCTTCCCTGCTCTTCATGTAATACAGCTCCTCCCCTGCTCTCTGCATTTTCCTTCACTTTATTAGCTGTGCTGTCTCCCCTGCCCCACTTTATCATCTGTCCGCCCATCCAGTCAGCTCCAGAGGGGCAGAGATTTTTGTCTTGTTCACTGCTGTGCCCCCCAGCACCTGGCATACATGAGGTGCTCAGTAAACATGTTATGCATGAGTGAGTGGCATAACAGGTAGTAATAGCAGAGGATGCAGGCTCCACAGCCTCAAGAGGCTTTGGGAGTGGAAGGGTTAGCCTGGGTCCCAAGGCCTCGTGGCTGGTCCTGAGAGCCCCTTGTCTACCCGCAGAGTGATCCGCTATGCTGAGGACATGCTGGAGAAAGACCTCAAGGACAATCAGAGCATCGGGGACCTGGGAGCCCACCACCTCCTGGAGCGGACAGCCCCTGGGGGTGGCAAGGTGACTGTGCTGACCCACTGTAACACTGGTGCCCTGGCCACTGCTGGCTATGGCACAGCCCTGGGTGAGTGGGTATCCATGGGGGTAGGAGAGGGCCCTTCTTAGATGCAAGAGAAAGAAATTCAAACCATTTTACCCACACACACAAAAAAATGAATTTATTCTTGTACAGAAACACTTAGGGTATGGCTTCAGGTATGGCTGGATACAGGGGCTCAAGTAGTAGCATTAGGATCCATCTGTCCCTCTTCCTAAGCTCTACTCTCCTCTATGGTGGCATCATTCTCATGCTCCGTAGGTTGGCACCGGGGCTGCTGGGGTTCAAATCATGAGGAAAAGACCCAGCAGTGCCTGAAAAGTCTCTCTATCTCTGGAGCTCTGATGGGGCCACCTATCCATCCAGGATCTGCTACTCAATGGGCCCAGCTTGACCCATGTGCCTACAGAGTGGGCAGGAAATAGACTCCAAGGGGACTGAAGGGAAGGAGGTAGCCCACCAAAGAATGATTGGGGTAGCTTTGACCAGGAGAAAGGGAAAAGGTTCTGAGATCAAGGGAACAGATTCCACTTGACCCTAAATTCCCCAGATTTCCCTACCTGCTTGGGCCCCTCTTTTGTGCTTAGGAACTGAGAACTTGATGGCAAGACAGTGATTCATTCACTCAACAAACATTTATTAAGCCCGCTGTGTGCCCTACTACTCATGCTTGCATGCATTCCTTTATTCATGCAACCCTTATTAACCACCTGCTGTGTGCCCCTCTCTTCATGCCTTTCTTTATTCACTCAACAAACATTACTAAGCACCTACTGTGTGCCAGGCACATTTCTAGATATTGGGGATCCAGCAGTGAACAGAGGAGACAAAATATCTTCCCTTAGAAGCAGGAAAGGTCGAGAAGCGAACATAAGCAAATTACTAACTATATGCCTAATGTGTTTGACAGTGGTAAATGCTAAGGAAAAAGAGCTGGGGAAGAGATCAATGGCATGGGAGTTGCTATGGGACATTGAGAGGTTAAGAAAGGCCTCACTAAGAAACTGTTCAAGTATACATGTACTGGGCAGAGGGAACAGCCACTGCAAGGGACCGGAGGTGGGACAGTGCCTGGTGAGTCTTTGGAGAGTCATGCCACTAACCAATGGGCCACCCTGCTCACCTGTCCCTTCCCATCTCATCCTGACCTCCTGGTGGGCTGGGCCCCCCGCAGGTGTGATCCGCTCACTGCACAACCTGGGCCGTCTGGGTCATGCCTTCTGCACAGAAACCCGGCCCTACAACCAGGGAGCCCGGCTGACAGCCTTCGAGCTGGTCTATGAGCAAATCCCCGCCACCCTCATCGCTGACAGCATGGCAGCAGCTGCTATGGCCCACCGGGGTGTGTCAGGTAAGCTGGGGGGGGTTCCGGCAGGCAGCACTGCAGGCATCCAGGGCCATGTCGTGACCCTGACATCTCACTCTCCAGCTGTCATTGTGGGAGCCGACCGTGTGGTTGCCAATGGTGACACAGCCAACAAGGTGGGCACCTACCAGCTGGCCATCGCTGCCAAACACCATGGCATCCCCTTCTACGTGGCTGCCCCCAGCTCCTCGTGTGACCTCCGTCTGGAGACAGGCCAGGAAATTGTCATCGAGGAGCGCCCAGGGCAGGAGCTGACTGATGTCAACGGGGTCCGGATTGCAGCGCCTGGTAAGCTGCACCCACTAAGTGGGGCACCACTGCCTGGGGCACCTCTGTGCAGGCAACGCTAGCCTCTTCATAGGGAGCAGGTGGCATATGGGGAGTCATCAGTCTTCTGGGGCATAAGCACCTCCTTCAATCCCTTTCTTGGAATGGAAGCATCTTGGGGGTCAGATGTAAGGTCAGCAGGTACAACTAATAAGTTAGGAGACTTCGAGCAAATTGGCTTACTATTCTCCACCTCAGTTTGCTCACCTAAAGAAGAAATACAGATAAGCCTAGCAGAGTCCCTGCAAAGTGACCCTGAGTTTCTCAGGTTCCGTACACTGCCTGGCTTTGCAGCTGTGAGCAGGCTGCCTAAGTTCTCTGGTCTCTAAGAGCCCCAGTGTTCATGCCTATAAGATGTGTTATTACCATGACCTACCTCATAAACCCCAGGGCGTTCAGTGAATTAACCCACGTGCCATGGAGAACAGTGCCTGGCCCTTAGTTACTGCTCATGAATTAATTATGATTGAAAACCTTTACAGAAAGGACCAGTTAAGATCCCTTAAGCACTTTAATATAACAAAGCTGCCACCCCATAGTCCAAGTACAGAGTCAAAGTAAAAGTAACATTAAGGGGAGGGAAGTTCTAATACTCTGGTTTTCTGCTGTGATTCCTTGAAACTTTGTAAACATAGACACTACTTTGACATTTTTGTTTCCTCTTTTGTTTTTGGCTCCCCTACCCACCTGGAGGCATATTAGCACTGGTCAAAATCCGTAAGACCATGTAAAGCAGAGTCAGCACCCCCACAACACAAAATAAAACTGGGGACAGACAAGTAACAAGGATGAGGGATACAGGCCAAGAGCACTCTGTGGGACCTATTGGGCCCCAGTACTCTGCTCTAGCCACTGGGCACAGGAATGCAGACCCCACAGGAATGGGTCTGTTCTGGGATTTTTCCAAGAGAAGCTTTATGTATTTTTAAATCTCTCACATTTTGAAAGCTGTCAACTAATTCAGTCATCTTAAAAAATAGTGAGCCACAGAAAGCAGTTACAGGCCACCAGTTTGTAGCTTCTTGTGTGAAAGATTGTTAATCATTTCTGCAAATATTTTTGAACACCCGATCGATGCTAAGGTTCCAGAGATAAAGGAGTGAAGAAAGACACAAAAGTCCAGCCCTCATGGAGCTGACAGACAAGAAGATGATAAACAAAATCACAGTGTGTGTTAGAAGGAGAAAGGTCTGAGGAGAAATAAACAAGGCAAGGAACGATAATGGGAGGCTTCGGTGCAGTGGGGTTTAGACAGGATGATCAGAGAAGTCTTATGAAATGGTGACATTTGAGCAAAGTTCTTAAGGAAGTGAATCAGTGAGCCTGCGTGTGTCTGAGGCAGAGGGTACAACCTTTGCAAAGGCCTTGACGTGGATTCTTGGAGGTTCTTAAAGAGCTCCTGGGAGCAGGCAAAAGTGAGACATACAGATATAAGACTTAGAAACCTTCTTGGATAATGACAACTCAAGAATAGTGGATGTCAGAGTCCATGTCTTCATTCACTTTTGAGGTATGCCTACCCAGATTCCCAAGGATTCCTTAACTTCAAGAACCACCATGGGGGAACAGGTGACAGCAGCTTGAAAACATATATGGAACTAATACCTGCCTTCTTGCCTCTCCCGTCCCCTACAGGGATTGGGGTTTGGAATCCTGCCTTTGACGTCACCCCCCACGACCTCATCACTGGCGGCATCATCACGGAGCTGGGTGTCTTTGCCCCTGAAGAGCTCCGGGCAGCCCTAAGTGCCACCATCTCCTGAGGGGAGTAGGGAAAGCAACCAGGGCCTTTGCTTGGCTTCTGAGAGCAGAGCAGCTGAGCCACGCTGCCCAAGTTCAAATCCCAATTCTGCCACTTTATTTGCTCTGTGACCTTAGCGCAGTCATTTCAGCCTCTGCACACGTTTGTCCTTGTGCATAAAGTGGGAACGATAGTACCACCACCACCCCTAGGTTGCTGCCAGGACTATAACTAGGCTGATGTCTCAGGTCCAAAAAGCTCAGTACAGTAATCAAGATAAGAAATAGATTTGTGCAATATATTTTTTTAATCAAAATCACTGCAAAAAAACCTGTAAGGAACAAAATACTGAAATATTAAATAGAGTAGAACTTTGCACTTACTCAACTTGTTACCCTCCCTTGTTCCAATAAAGCTTTGTTTACAACATTAGGCAGCCAGTCTGCAGGCTGTAGTCTGATTTTATTTGTTCATATTAAGGTATGATTTTTAAATGTTGACGATACTACTGATCTTGATTACTGAATTTAGGGCACCTTTAATTTTTGTACCCAGTGAGTGCCACACTTACCTCACCCTAATCCTAGACTGAATTTTACGTATAAAAAGTCTTAAGTTTTACAGAACAAACAAGCGCCCCGCAAATGCTGGTTTATCTTCATGACCTTCACTTAACTACCTGTGGTAGATAACTTGTGGACGGCTGTCTCTTTAACGCTGCCACGTTGTATCCCGTGAGCCTTTGCGCCCCACCGTGACCCATCGTGCCCGGCGACTTCCGGCTGCATCTTTGCAGCCCCGCCTCTTCCGGCGCGTTCCTGATCATGGCGCAGGGGCAGCGCAAGTTCCAGGCGCGGAAGCCGGCAAAGAGCAAGGCAGCAACGGCCTCCGAACGGAACCGGGGCCCGAGGAAGGGTGGTAAGGAGCGAGTCGGACCGGCAAGTGAGGTAGGGCTGGGGGATGATGTGGGTCCAGAACTCCGCGGCCTCACGCGAGCGCGTCGTCTCTCCCCAGGTCGTGCTATCGCCCCCAAGAAGGCGCGCATCGTGCAGCAGAGGAAGCTCCAGAAGGTGAGCGGAGGTGTGCGAGGCGCGAGGGATGGAACCTGAGGCCGGCGCGGGGTACTGGGGATGGAGCCTGGGAGCGGGAGTGGAGTACCAGGGATGGAGCCCGGAGAACTCTTAAGCTCTCTGAGCACCAGTTTCCACCCAGTGCAGTGGGCACAGCAACATCACCTACTATTCAACGGGCCTCGTAGAAGGAAGGCCTGGCGCACAAAAGTGTTAAACACACATTACTTGCTTTCGCTGTTACTGCCCTCTTTAGTAGACCTCGGGAAGGGAGATTGCTTGGGGAAGGAGTTGAAAACCCGAGCTTTGCAAGAAGGCAGTGCTGCACACAAATGGCAACTCCATCGACAGCTAATACTTTTTCATCTCGAGCCTGTTACCTGTGAAATGATCACAGTGGTAGCATCTTTCACCTAGAATTGGAAGGATTCGATGCCATAGGGCACCTGTAAAACTCTGGAACAGCACAGGGCACAAATTAAGCGTTGCGTCGGTTGTCATTTTTGTGGCTACCTTTAAATGCAGCTTCTTTTTATAGGCTGGTAGGATTGAGCTTACAAAGAAGTTACAAAGAGGTTTAAAACTGGTTTTGGTGGAGTTAAAGCTGAGTTTTAATTGTACCTGACACAAACTAGTGTGTAAAATTCTGAGCGAACTGTTCGGTTTACCCAGAGGCTCGGTTTTCTCAGACCTGTGTACCCCCTGGCCTGCTTACCTCCATCTGGCAGTAGGAGGGGCTGTCTCATGGGCTTATCAAACTCAGCATATCCTAAACCAAGATCCGGATCATCCTCTCCCTCTCCCCGACATGATCTTACCAGCCTTGATTCAAGAAGACTGTATTTCTCCATGCTGTAGTTATCGATTCCTCTCTTTCTCACATCTTGGTTGGATCCCATCAGTTTTGCCTCTGGACTAAACTAGAATCCCGCCCCCTCCCCATCTCCCATAGCAGCCACGAGGGGGCGCTGCTGAGCTCACAAGCCAGGTCCCGCCCTCCACTCTGAGCCCTCCGAGGCCCCTGCCTCTGCCTTTCTCAGGAAAAGCCCATGTCCTCTCCATAACCCGAAGCCATGCGTGGACCTGCCCTGTCACCTTCTTGCCCTGTGTCCTCCCTCCCTCCCATGGTCACTGGCCCCTTAACTGGTCCTTGTCGCACCTCAGAACTTCACTGGCTGTGTCCTCTGCCCGGAGTCTTCTCCCAGAAATCCGCACGTCTCCTTTCCTCCAAATCAAGTTTGACTGAAAGCCTGGCTTCTAAGTGGCCATCCGTGATGGCACCCCTGCAGCACACACCCCTCACGTGTCATCCCGTGTTTGTTTTATGCATAGCCGCATTTATGATCGTCTTAACATAGTGTGTTGACATTTATGTAGTCTTCACACACACTTTGAGCATCAGTTCTGTGAAGGCAGATATTTTTCTCTGTCTTTGCTCTTGTGACTCCTGTGTCCAGGCATGTGGTAACAGTCATTGGAACTCATAGGCGGGGGTGGGGGTCGGGAGCAGTTTGGGGAAAATGATTAAACTGCCAGTTTGGGACCCAAATACACTTGGGTTCTGATCCCTATGCCTTGGCTTGCTTATGTCGCTCAGATACCCAGTTCCCCCGTCTGCTAAGTTGGGATGACATGGGCCAGGAGGGTACTGCCCACCTAGAGGCTGAGGTCAGAGGTCCTGGGCACACCAGGTTCTGGTCTCCCGTGACTCCCACGCTTTGGGAGTTCTGCACAAATGCCTTCTCCCTGCAGGAGCCTTGGTTTTCCCATCTGTAAAATGGGGGTAGGCTGAGGTCCAGCGAGGAGAAGAGGTAAAAGCTGGACTTACCCCCAGCCCCCGGATTCAGGTGCTGTTCTGGGGGCAGTTGCTTGAGTTGCTGATCCAGCCCCTGTGAGCTCTCAGCAGAGGGCGACAGGCCCACTCGCCCCAGTCCTAAGCTCACTGTCCCATGGTTGCCCCCTCAGGACCTGGAGGTTGGGATCCGGAAGAAGATCGAACATGATGTGGTGATGAAAGCCAGCAGCAGCCTGCCCAGGAGGCTGGCACTTCTGAAGGCCCCTGCCAAGAAGAAGAAGGAGGCATCCTCTTCTACCAATACCCATTCTTAGGGACACTGGCCCAGCGGGACCACCACTGCAGCCCCACCTCTGAGCTCAGACCTGCACAGGTGACACCCCTCCCTGAGCAGCACTGCTGGGGAGGAGCATGCGCCCCAGAGCCTGGGGTTCGCCTCACACTTCATTGGGGGCCCAGCCTGTGAGCAGGTGGTCAGCAGGTCCGAAGTACACTAGTTGGCATCCTAGTGCATTGAGAACTCAGTGAGGGCTGGGAGGGTACAGTCACTGACTTGCCACATCCCCCTCCCTATCCCCAGATCCTGTCTCCACCGGCTTAACCCAGAGCAATAAACCTGACTTTGCCGTGCCTCTTGTGGTCATGTGGTCCTGGGAGTGCGTACCTGACCCGGGTTGGCCCGGACTTTCCACTGGAAACCAGCCACATGCCCAGGGAAGGACGGATGGACTTCTGCTCCTGCAGCCTGGGAGATGGGGAGGCTGCCTTCCTCCCTCCCACCCTGGGTGGCTCGCATCAATCTCACTCACCTGCATGCCTTGCAGAGACACCCAGTAACTCCCCATGTGCTCTTTCTGTGGACTTGTCTGTTTTGGACGTTTCACATAAATGGAATTGTATGTCACGTGGCCTTTTGTCTGGCTTCCTTCAGCAGGTTTTCGAGGCTCATTCCGGCTGTAGCATATATCAGGGCTTCATTCCTTTTTATGGCCGAGCAATATTCCATTGTACGGATAAACTACACTTATCCACTCAGGTGACCCAGAGGTCACCCCCTCTATCTGGACAGCCAGACATCCTAAGGAGCCGCTTTCCCATCATAGGATAGAGGCTGACACCACCCATAGGGTCACCGTGCCAGTGAAACCAGGATGTACTTAGAGACTGCCTGGTGCCACCTCAGGCTACATAAAGTCCCAACAGCTAGAACTTAATGTAGCACTGCCTATGGCCCAGCCACTGTTCTAGTGCTTTCCACACCTCACCTCAACCCCCATGATGCCCAGGTCAGGCCATGTTGATGTTCCAGAGGAGGGACTTGGATCCGCCCCTGGCAGAGCCCAAGAGCGTGCTGTCAGCTCTGCCTCAACCAAAACAAGATTCTCCATTGTTCCATCCTGGGCTCCCCTCCCCTAAATCCTTGTTTAGGTCTAATGACCCTTCTTCCCTCCCTCTCTTGCAGGGTAGGGAGCAGGTCATGCCTCAGGGACCAGGCAGGCTGCAATCTAGGTGACGCTGAGCTGCTGTCTTTGCAGGGAGGTAGCTCTCTTGGGTACAGTCAGCTGCTCCCTGGAGGTGGGTGATGGTCCCCTGGAGGTCCGTCCTTTCCCAGCCAGCCTCACCCACGCCAGGCTGGTTTTCTTGGTCCCACACAGTGGGGTTCAGCACTTTTTGAACTACCAACATTTACGGAAAAAGCTAGGGACAGCCATTGTGAAAACCACTTTTTTAAGTTCACAGAGTCAGCACACAACCCCGCAATTCCATGTCTCCAAAAGAATTGAAAACCGCCTCCTACACACATGCTCACAGCAGCATTGCTCACAATGGCCTAAAGGTAGAAACAACCCAAATGTACATCAACACCTGAGTGGGTAAGTGTAGTTTATCCATACAAGAATTTTGCTCAGCCGTAAAAAGGAATGAAGCCCTGACACATGCTACAACTGGAATGAGCCTCGAAAACCTGCTGAAGGAAGCCAGACAAAAGGCCGCGTGACATACAATCCCATTACGTGAAACGTCCAGAACAGACAAGTCCACAGAGAGCACATGGGGAGTTACTGGGGGAGAGGGAAGGTCATCTCTGGGGGTGCTAGTTTTGAAGCTAGGTAGATTGTGAATGTGGTAAATGCCACTGAACCGTACACTTTGAAGTGATGAGTATTGTGAGTTTTAAGCAGAAAACAATTTCGTTCCCCCAAAAAATCCTAAATTACATCTCAAAAAATCAGTGTAGCAGCAAAGTCCAGATTTGATGGAAAGACTTGTAGTTCGGAGTTTCCCCAGGCCCAGGGTTCGATTTCTGCAAGGGAAGGGGCGGCGGGGGAGCCTCTGACATGGGGCTGGAGGGCAGGGTTGTGGCTTGGCCTTGCAGCCCCCCAGGGCACACCCTTTCTAGAGCCCCACTTGGGCCACCTGCCCACCTCACAGCAGCTTCTCCCCTGAGCAGGCAGCTCCCACCCTTTGAGGTAGAGCTGTTGGGTATTTATTATTTATTGTGCAACTATTGTGTGCCAGCCTCTAGGCTAGCTACTAGAGCAGAGAACTGACATTCCAGTGTGGAGAACAGAAAACAAGGAGACCCAAGGCTACCCCTCCCAAGACTCCTGCCTTTGCCCTGTTCTGCCATCTGTGGTTCCCTACCCATCCCGGACCACCGCCAAAAGCCCTTCTCTGTCCCCTGCTCCTTGAACTGGTCACTATGCCGTTCCAGCATGTTTTCTGGTTTGCAACTTTGTCCTGTTTACCACTGTGTCTCCAGCACCTAGAATAATGCACAGTAGATGCTCCATGGACAAGTGTTTGTTGAAGGAAGGAAGAACTCCGTTCCTTTTTGCAAGGAAAATGTTGCTTTTCAATGAATCAGTTCTGATCATTCAATGCATTGTCTGCATGACGCACCCTTCCGGGATTTCCGATTCAGAGCATCAGCTTTGAACTCTGAAACAGCACTGTGCGTAGTAAGCAACTGATAGCAATACAAAACCACTCTTATCTGTAGATGTGCAAATTCCATCCTGTCCCAGCCCAGGTTCTGTTCGCCACACACACATACACCCTGCCCCCTGGAAAAACCAAGTGCCTCCACACATCTGTTTACTCAAATACTCCGATCTGCATAGGTGCCTGTTTCCTAGATACTTTTAAACCATGTGTAACATCTGTCTGGTTCCTACATGAGTTGAATAAACATTTTAACATGTGTTTGTCTTTATATGGCTCTGAGAGTCATGGTTTCACTCACTTGGAAGTTACCTTTTAACTTTTCTATCTAGAATCTCAGAGGGATAAGGCCTGAGACGTAGTGGGTTCCGGGTTCCTGCTGCTACCTCCCCCAGCCGCCAGGAGGTACCTACACGCCAGGCCAAGCCCACTGGTAGCCCGTGGCACCCAGGTGGCCTGGGACTCCTGTAAACGTTCCCTTTGACCCTCTGACGCCAGCCCCTCGGAGGAGGACCCCAGGGCCAGAGGAGAGGCATGCAGGCATGACAGGTATGGGGTCTGGAATGCCAACCCACCTGTTCCCCCTTCACCTCACCCCGCAGGCCTCCCAAACAGCTTCATTTTTCCCATCGCTGCCCTGGGTGACTTCCCTCCCTCCATGCTGGTTCCTTCCACGTGCCTCCAAAAGCCCCTCATTGGTGCAGGAACCAAGAACCCCAGACTTAGGAAAATCCCCACACTTCAAGTTTTCTGCCACTTTCTGGCTGTGTGACATCCTCAGTTCCTTTCACCTCTCTGAGCATCACTTTCCCTATCTATTAAATGCAGACCCTAACATCCCTCCCTCAGTGTGGAGAATCTGGGAAGTGCGGTGGGGGGAGAGGGGAGCCTAGGACTAGCCACTCCGCTCGGCCGGTCCTCTCTGCTTGTCTCCCGGGCCCTCCCCCCAGCGCCAGCGCAGTCACTGGATGTGGCTTTTCAGGCACAAGTATTCTTGCCAAAGCCTTTTCCTCTCCTGCCTCCATCTTCCCCCTCTGCCTGGAATGCCTGTCTTTCCTGGCAGGGCCCTGACGCTTCACCCATAAACTTGTGTTCTAAAAGGGAAGGAAAGAAATGTAAGAAGCAAATCTTGCCAGCTGGGCAGGCCAGAGGGGCTGTGTTGGGACCAGGAAGTGAAACTGCCCCAGCTGGTTCCCTGCCTGACTCAACAGGGGCAGGGGTGCTGCAGGGGCTGCCAGAAGAGAGGGAGCCCCAGCAATTGGGGTGGAGGGCCCTGTGTCCCCTCATCTGAGCCACCAGGGTTACCCCATTTCCTGTGGGTCTCAAGGATATGCGGGTTTGGGGTCAGGAGCTGTGGATGCCTAGACAGTGAGCTCATGGCGGTCGGACGGGATAAATGTGGCTTCCATTTCCCTGAAGCCCAAGCTTACTGGCTACACCAAGAAGGGAGGACACTTGGGTAACTGGAAGCCCCTCCTGCCCCTCCTTTCCTCAAAATGTTGCTAGGAAGAGGGAAGGCTTGAAATAGGCCTAGAGATTCCATCCTGGGGACTGCTGTCCTCCCAGGGGCCCTCCTGACCTCCCAGGGTCACTGTGTAGCCTTGGGCACTTTCTGACCCTCTCTGGGCCTCAATCCCCTAATCTGAAAAATCAGAAAACTGGGAAAGAATATTGATGTTTCCCAAACTCTGTGCATTTGATCCCCAGCCAATGTGACAGGACTACTTCACTCACAGGGCTTGAATAGTGGCCCCATCCTTTTCTTCTGTGGACCCTGGGGCCTTGGACAAGTAACCTGACCTTTCTGTGCTTTGGTTTTCTTGTCCACAAAATGGAGATGATGACAGTATTAGTATCTGTCATTAGAGAATAAAATAAAATAACACATCCTGCCTCTGTGATGACCTTTTCTGTTCCTCCTAAAGTCAACCTACTGGCCTGAAGTGACTTCTGCGACTCAACATCTTGAGATGCCCACTGCGGTGTTCTCAGGGACAGGACCTGCACTTAGCTGACACAGCCACGTAGCAGATGCTGAAGGGGGCCACTGGTACAGGCAGACCCTGGGGCCTGTGTGCCAAGAGGGCAAACTTCTGCTTTGCTGAAACCCTTCCTGCCTTTCTCCCCACCTGTTACTTCTTCCCTATGGGCCTATCTTTGCCTCAAATCCTTTGCAAGAAAGGGACCTCCAGGAAGTCTAGGGCTTCCTAGCCTGGGTGACTTCAGGCAACAACTCCCCCTCTCTCCAAGTCTCAGTTTTCTCCTCTGAGAAACAGAGATGACAGTCCCCACTTCACAGCACTGTTGGAAGGTTTAAACTTGGTAATATATGGGATCACCTAGAGCACCTCGTAAGCAGTCACACATTATGATTACTGTTGTTTCTATTGTTGTTGTGGCAGGCTGTGGTTCAAGACCAGTGCTGTCCAGTAGAAATTACAATGCAAGGCACAAATAGAATTCTGTAAGTGTCCTAATACCATATAAAATAAAACGATATAAAAGGAAACAGACGGAATTAATGTTTTATTTAACACAAACTTATCTAAAGTATTGTCACTTCAACATGTAATCAAAACGAAATTATTAATGAAATACTTTGCTTTTTTTTTTTTCCTACTAAGTCTCCAGAGTCCTCTCTGTGTTTTACATCTACAGCACAGCCAATAACTGGCCAACCCCACTTCAAGGGCTCAAAGGCCACTGTGGCGGATGGTGACTGTAGTGGGTGGTGCAGATTGGAGGGAGTTTACGAAATGGTGGGTTGGGGACTGGCCAGAAAGTGCAGCTGTGACACTGAAAATTTCTGGAAGGAAAAAGCCAGTTTCCATAGGGAGAGGGGGAGCAACAATCTGACCAGTTAGTAGCCAACTTGGTTTTCTCCTGCTCTAGATCATTTCAACTGAATGGGGAGCAGAGCATGGGTTGCTGCGGTCCACAAGTTATAGATTGAGTGACTGCTGCATGCCAGGTGCTGTTCAGGGGCACTTGTTAGACAACAACTGCCTCTTGGGGCTCGAGGTGGAGAGGGGAGAGGCAGAAATGAAACAACTGCTGAAATAATAAAGACATGTAAGGGTAATGGAGAGAAGTGTGGAGAAGGGGAAATGCAGGATTCTCTAAGGACTGGAAGAAGGATTGGGGCGTGGGAGGTGGGCGGGGCTGGTGGGGGCCTTGACACACTGGGTCAGAAAAAATAATGAGAGGTGGTCGTATTTGACATGAATGACGTTGAATTTTATGAAATTGCCATTTTAGGAGGTAAAAAATGGTCGAGAACCAGCAATTTCATATGATTCAACGTCATATTTAGGTTATAGAATGGATTCGTTCTTAGTTTGGAACTCAGGGATGAGCTTGGCATGGTTCCTAGAGAGGGGGTCCGCAGCCCCCATGAGCCCCACCCAGGAGCCTGAGATCCTCCAATCCACCAAAGCATTAAAACTGCACCCGGAGCCCAGAGAGGCTGAAAGAGTTTCTCGTGTCACACAGCGCAGAAGGAGGAGGGGCTGGGCCGTCGCCCCGGGATCTCGCCGCTCAGTCTCACTTCCCGGCCGAGCCGTGTTGATTGTCCCCTGGCGGTGCCCGGAAGCGACCCTCAGTAAACAATGCCGTGCGTGGGCGCAGCCCCAGCTGCCCCGGGCGCGCCGTCCAGCCTGAGGGGGGTGGGGAGGAATGTTGTGAATGAACCCAGGACCCGCCCCGAAACTCCGCCTAAGGCCCAAGCCGCGGGGGGGTCCTCTCACTGTGATTGGACTCCGACTCCCCGTGATTGACAGCGCCGCTCGCTGAGCTCTCTTATTGGGCTGTTCCGGACAGACAGGCAACACATAAGGCGAATGAGTAGCCTGAACCTGGAGAAGGGTCTGGAGGTGCAGCCAATGGTGGAGGAGAGCCTAGGAGGCCGAGGGGGGGGCCAATGGGGACGGGTGGCGGGGGCGGGACGACGGCGGAGGATAAAGCGGCGGCCGAGGCAGCTTCATTGTTGTGAAGAGTCTTAAAGGGGCCGTATCACCCGGCCGGCCCGGTGTGGGGCGGGGGTGGGTGCGGCTGGGGTCCGCAGGCGGCTGAGCGCGAAGGAAGGACTGGAAGGCGGGCAGGGGGCGCGGGAGCCGGCAAAGCAGAGCGGGCATCGGACCGACCCCCCCCCAACCAGGCCCCGCCCCGGCCCCGGCCCGGCTGGATGGACCCCCCCGCGGCCAAGCGGAGCCGGGACTGCCCCGCGGGCCCGGAGGAACGCGACGCCGGGGCCGGGGCCGTGCGCGGCCGGGGCCGGCCCGAGGCGCTGCTGGACCTCAGCGCCAAGCGAGTGGCCGAGAGCTGGGCCTTCGAGCAGGTGACTGCGGGGGGGAGGGGGAGGAACGCTACTAACTCCTTACCCAACCTGCCTTCTCCTCCCGTGTCCAAACTCCAGCCTCCGGACCTGCCTTAGAGGAGACACCCCCGGAGACCCCCTCCAGGATTCTTAACGCTACCCCCAAACACCTCTTCATCTTCCCGTTTCACTCCAAATCCTGTGACCCACCCCCATCCTCTCTCCGCCATCCCTGTTCTCCAGCCTCCAGACCCACGGATGCCCTCAGCGCCCCTGATCCCAACTCAGGAACGCTTCCTTCTTCCCCTCCTGCCCCTTGGTCCTCTCACAACACTGAGGACCCTCTTTTCCCACCTCATCCCCCAATTAGGACACCCCATTCAATCCTTACTCTTGTCTCCAGCTCCTCCAAGCCCTTCCTGCTTCGGGCACCCCAGATCTCAGCCCCTAGAGACTCCAGTTCTCTGTCCTACACACCCAGTAGAGGACTTCCCCAATTCTACAGAATCCAGCTTCAAAACGTCCCTCTGTTTCCTCCTGTCTCCAGAACCCACCTATCCCATGGGGAACCCCTCTCCTCCTCCAGAACCTTCCCTCAGGTATTTCTGGGGCCACCTCCCACCTCGAGATGGCTGTAGGGATTACTCCAGTGTAAGGGTCCCCCCAGCCATTACCCCCAATGTTCACCTTCCTCTCCATCCCACCCCAGCCATCCCCCTCCTTCCAGAGGTTGGTAGCAAGGGCGGGGCCTGGGTCTTGGTACCTGGACAGGTGCATCTGGAACCCCATCTCTGTAACTTCCAGGGGTTCTTCCAAGGCCGGGCAGTTGGAAGGCCCCCTGCCCAGCTTCACTCGGGGCCCCTGAGGAGCTGGAGATGGGGCCCGGATCTGACCGAGCCTTCTGCAGCCCCTACAGACTCTGTTTTCTCTCTGGCTTTGGGGGTTATTCTTTGCTCCCTGGCCTCCCTGCAGTTAGGAAGTCTGCTGGGACTGATGGGTCTGGGCCAAGTGTGGATGGGGCAGGCTCTGATTCATGGCCTGGAAAATCCCTCCTTAGTCATCTGTCAACTGCCCCCGAGGCCTGGGCTTGTCACTGACCCTCCCACTTCCCCTCAAAACCCAGTATTGGGGGCTCTGGAAGGTCACTGACCCTTCACTGTGCATGAGACACCCAGAATAATCCTAAAATTATCTCCAGGGCTCCCGTGCCCCTGCCCTGGCCAGGCCTTGTGCTGGGAAAGCTCTTACCCCACGGAAGCTCAAGAAATCCTCTGCAACTCTTTGGGAGTTGTTGCTCTCCTTCCCATTTTGAGGAAACTGGAGCACAGAGAGGTTGAGAAACTTGTTTAAGGTCACCCAGCCAGTAAGTACAAGTCCAGATTGGAACATAGGCTGAACCAGATCAGTTCACGGCCCAGAGCCCACAGTGGTGGCCAGGACATCCCTCCCTTCTTAGGGGCCCTTGGAAGGTAGTAAACAGAGCCTGGCATGGAATTCAAACCTCATCAGGTATGAGACCCTCAACAGTTGTATTGCCCAGGCTGCAAAATGGGGGGACAGTTGAAGCATTGAGCATGTAGGCTGAGACTATGAAGGCCTGCTCACTATTCTTCTTGTCACTTTTGTCTTCCTCCTGCTGCCTCAGAGCCAGGGAGGCGGGACTACCTTACATCAGGAGCCGGGGACCTGAAATCCGGGGGGGAAGTGTAAGAAAGTTCTAGAACATTAACTGGGCCAGATGTTACTATAAGCACTTTACATATACTAATGAATATTTCATCCTCAAGATGCCCAGGAGACCGGTGCTATTAACATCTCGTCTCACACTTGAGGAAACTCAAGCTCAGAGAGGCAGAGTAACTCATCCAAGGTCATACTGCTTTGTAAATGACAGAGCCAGGATTCAAATGGGGGTTTCTAACCCATCGGCCTTTCCCACAGGTCGAGGAGCGGTTCTCCCGAGTGCCAGAGCCGGTCCAGAAGCGCATCGTGTTCTGGTCGTTTCCACGCAGTGAGCGGGAGATATGTATGTACTCGTCGCTGGGCTACCAGCCCCCAGAGGGCGAGCACGATGCCCAAGTGCCCTTCACCCGAGGGCTGCACCTCCTGCAGAGTGGGGCTGTGGACCGCGTGCTGCAAGTGGGTGAGTGTTTCCCCACCCCTGTCAGGGAGGTGGCCAGGAGGCCCAAAGCAGGCCTGGAGGAGGGGTGTGTTGGAGGGGAGCCTGGGCCAGGGGGAAGGGAGGTTCTAGACCTCCAGCTTTGCTGCCCAGGGAGGGTTGTATAAGGTATTGTGAGCTAAAGATCAGAGCTCTGCCTAGACCTCAGGCAGCAGGCTTAAGGAGTGGGGAGGGGAAGGATGGTGAACCAGAAAGTGGGGGAGGGGAGGCAGGCAGCAGGGCCCAGCTATGGTGCGAGGATTGGATCCCAGGTGGAGGCCACTGTGGGGATTAGACAGGGTGATGGACTGCCCTAGACCTCAGGCTTTGGGCCCAATGGGGTTGGGCACAGGGCTCAGAAGGGTCAGAGGTTGAGCCAGAAGACAGGTGAGCCCTGGAACGCTACACCTGCCATGGGGGCAGGTCACGTCTCCCAGCTGGACCTAAAGGTGAAAGGTGGCCCTAGAGTCCTAGAGCTCAGACAGCTCAGCTGGTTGGGGAAAGAGATGGCAGCACAGGAGGAGGGCAGGTCCGAGGCAGCATGGAGGAGCAGTTGTAAGCCAGAAGGGAGGGGAGGTTCAGACCTCAGGCAGAGGGACCCAGTGATGCTTTGGGGCCAAGGATGAGAGCCAGAAGTAAGAATGAGCCTAAACCTCAGGCAGTAGGGCTCTAGAGAGAGTTGAAGACAAAGATTTAGAGCCATAGGTGAGAGGTAGTCTTATACCTCAGGCAGAGAGACTCAGGTAAAGGTTGGGCTCAGAGGTTTATGGATGGCCTCAGACCTAAGATTTAAGGTCTGATTTTAGAATCAAATGTGAGGGGTGGTCTTAGACCTAAGGCAGTGGGGTCTAGGTGAGGGTAGGGAGCAGAGGTTTCAATCTAGAGGTGAAAGATGATTCTAGACCTCAGGCAGCAGTGCTTGGAAGGGGTTCAAGTAGAAACTGAGCCAGAAAGCAGGGGAGCCCTGGAATGCCACACCTCCCATGGGGGCAGGTCACATCTCCCTGCTGGAGGCAGGGGCTTGGCCAGTATGACCCTCCCTGAACCCTGTCTGCCTGGGGGCCCCCTTGCCTGGACATGGCCCAGCAGGCCACAGGCTCGGCCACCTCTACCGGTATGAGGAAGCCGCCGCTGTCTCCTGCATGACGCAGCCAGGGCTGGCTGGGGCCTGAGCTACCCAACCAGTCCGATGAGCCTGGCATCTGGGCTCCCCAGGGGCCAGGGAGGGGCAGGGGGTGATAGGATGGCCTGGCCCCTGCCTGCCACATCAGCCCCTTGTCTCCAAGTGTCTCAGGCCTTTGGCATCTTCCCAGGAAGTTACAAGGCTGCTGGGGCCGTATCCATGGTAACCCACGGGCTGAGAACACCATTAACATCATCACTAAAACAATATTATTCAGAATTAAAATATGAGCAGGCGTTGATTTAGGGCTTTCTGTATGCGAACAGTGCCCTAAGCACTTGCCAAGCATTAATCCTCGTTTAATCCCTATTCCAAACAGACGAGGAAGATGGTGGTATTCATTCCCATTTAAAAGATGAGGAAACAGGCACAGAGGAGTTTAGTGACTTGTGCTAGGTTTCTGGCTGGGATTTGCACCTGCGTCTTGCCATGCATCTCTTGGGTGACACAGTGGCAATGGTTTGGCTCTGGTCTTAGGATTCCACCTGAGCGGAAACATCCAGGAACCGGGGGGCCCTGGAGAGCCTGGGCACGTCTACCACGTCTCCATCAGCTTTGACCGCTGCAAGATCACATCGGTGAGCTGTGGCTGTGATAACCGCGACCTCTTCTACTGCGCCCACGTGGTGGCCCTGTCGTTGTACCGCATTCGGCACGCCCGCCAGGTGGAGCTGCGGCTGCCCATCTCTGAGACGCTGTCCCAGATGAACCGGGACCAGCTGCAGAAGTTCGTGCAATATCTCATCAGCGCCCACCACACTGAAGTGCTGCCCACCGCCCAGCGCCTGGCCGATGAGATCCTCCTGCTGGGCTCTGAGATCAACCTGGTGAATGGTGAGGGCACCCAGGTTATGATGGGGGTAGTGAGGGCCCCGGTGTTGGGGACTTTTGCTGTGGAGTGCTCCGGTCCCTTTGATCGGTGAGTGGGTATGGGCAGTGCCCTTGTGTGCGGTCAAGGTCACACACCTCTGAGTGCAACAGATTCTGGATTTGATGTGGCCCTGGACAGATGAATGCTCAGAAATCATTCAACAGGGATATCCAGCCCCCTGGTGGGGGGTGTCCCAAGAACACAGGAACAGGTCTGGGTTTGGATGGGTTCATGGGTGATGTTTCACATGGGATAGATGGATGAATGGATGGATACATAAGTGGATGAATGAACTAGTGATGTTTTGGGTGAGATGGATGGATGGGTGAACAGGTGGACAGGTGGACAGACCTATGGATGAGTGGGTGAACGGATGGGCGAACCGACGGATAGGTGGTTTTTCAGGTAGGATGGATGGAACTTTTGGGACAGGTTGGGCAATTGGAGGACTGGGTGATAACAGGCAGGTGGCTTGTTCCCCCAGCCCCAGCCTCAGCTTGCTCTCCCTCCTTCCCTGCAGGCGCCCCAGACCCCACAGCCGGTGCAGGCATTGAGGACGCTAACTGCTGGCACCTGGACGAGGAGCAGATCCAGGAGCAGGTGAAACAGCTGCTCTCCAACGGCGGCTACTACGGCGCCAGCCAGCAGCTACGCTCCATGTTCTGCAAGGTGTGCGCAGGCTCAGAGGGCAGGGGTCTAAAGGCCCTGACGCCAGCACTCCTTCCTCACCGCCCCATCCCTGGCACAGGTGCGCGAGATGCTGCGGATGCGGGACTCCAACGGGGCGCGCATGCTGATCCTCATGACTGAGCAGTTCCTGCAGGACCCACGCCTGGTTCTGTGGCGGCAGCAGGGCGCAGGCATGACAGACAAGTGCCGGCAGCTGTGGGATGAGCTGGGTAAGGGCTGGGCCCTGGAGCACGTAGGCAGTGGGGCCGAGGCTCCCATGGGGGGTCTGGCTTCTGGCTCTTGCCACCCCCAACCCAACATTAGGGTCTGGCCCCTGAATCCTTTGTCCATTCATCAGCACCTTCAGCGTCCAAGACACTGTGCTGAACACTGGAGCTAGAGCAAGAAACGAGAGATTAAACACCTGCCCTCACAGAACTGAGACCTGATAGGGGAGACAGACCAGAAAACACCACATACCCATTCGACCAGGAGTTCACATCTTCTTTTCCATAAGGGCTGGATAGTCAGTAGTTTCAGCTTTGAGACCATTTGCTCTATGTTATGACTTCTCAGTTTTGCCCGTTGTAGTAGTAAAGCTCCCGCAGACCCACGTCACTGAGCAGGCACTGCAGCATTCCCGCAAAACTTTACTTGCAAACACTATTCATTTGAACTTCATATCATGTTCACAGGTCACAAAATACTATTTCCCACCCACCAGTTTAAAATGTCAAAATAAATCTGAGCTCACGGGCTGTTCAAAAACAGGTGGTGGGTTTGATTTCCTCCACTGGCAGTAGTTTACTGACCCCTGTGGTAGATCATGATAAATGTGATAGGGGGAAAAAAAAACAGTGGGAAGAGCCTGATGACCGGGGTTCAAATCCTGCCTTGTGACGTCCAAGCTGTGTGACCTTGAGCAACTGATCTTACCTCTCTATTCTGTGAAGGGACTAGCAGTTTCAGAGGCTGGAGATGAGAGTTAAGCACAGAGCAGTGCCCAGCATACAGTAGCCGCTTCTTAAGTGTGTGCTGCTATGATTGGCATGCATGTGACCCCCCCCATGCCCATGTTCACTGTCCTCTCCAGGGGCCCTGTGGGTGTGCGTCGTCCTCAGCCCCCACTGCAAACTGGAGGAGCGGGCAAGCTGGCTCCAGCTGCTTGGCAAGTGGGACAAACTGGACGTGTGCCCCCTGGAAGAAGGCGACTACTCTTTTGATGAGCCCAGCTTACAGTCAACCTCAGCCCTCAGCCCAGGTAGGAGAGGGGTCCCCAAAACCATCACCACTGCCTGTGGCCCAGCCTCCCCATCATGGCGCTTGGGGGAAGGCAGGGGGAGCCCTAGCCCGTGCCTGTCCTCGCCAGGAAGGGGGGTGCCCAGGGCAGGGGAGTGGGCAGCTAAAGGGACAGTGAAGTGAAATACTCAAGACACCTGTAGTTCTGGGCTATTCGCCTGACCCAGGCTCCTCCTAGCCTTGGAGGCCAGGGTTGGAGAAACTGAGATGCTGAGAAGAGACAGGTAAAAAGAGGCAGAGATGGAGAGAGAGAGAAAGAGAATAGAGTTTGGGGAGAGGACGGACAGACAGATAAGAGTTATTTAACTTCAGTCGTCCGTCCATATGAGGGGCTATAACAGCTCCCCTGACAAACACATGCATTATACACACATACACACCTCTGAAGGGCTTCTGTCAGGATTTGATGAGATGACACTGCCCCATCACTGCACCCTGAGTTTAGCCCCAAGTTCACATTCAGTGCAGGGAGCTGACCACAGCCCAACTGTCAGGGCCTCCCTCACCAGGCCACACTGCACCCCTCATACAGGCTCCGAGGAGGAGGAGGAGGAAGAGGAAGTGGCTGCCGGTTCCCGCCACACTGTGTTCGGCCGCGCCCTGCAGGCTGGGTCTCTGCACTGGAGCGATACTCACCTGCAGAAGATCCTGGCCAGTGACTCTGATGGCCCCAGCATCACAAGCAACATGAGCAGTGACAAACCAACCTTCGACTTCCAGGGACACCCAGTCTGGCTGGGCGAGCCCTTTCCCACTGCCTGTGCCCGTGTGGATACCCTACGTGCCCACGGATACCCCCGCCAGGCCCTGCGGCTGGCAGGTGCCTCCATCAGCTTTGACCGCTGCAAGATCACATCGGTGAGCTGTGGCTGTGATAACCGCGACCTCTTCTACTGCGCCCACGTGGTGGCCCTGTCGTTGTACCGCATTCGGCACGCCCGCCAGGTGGAGCTGCGGCTGCCCATCTCTGAGACGCTGTCCCAGATGAACCGGGACCAGCTGCAGAAGTTCGTGCAATATCTCATCAGCGCCCACCACACTGAAGTGCTGCCCACCGCCCAGCGCCTGGCCGATGAGATCCTCCTGCTGGGCTCTGAGATCAACCTGGTGAATGGTGAGGGCACCCAGGTTATGATGGGGGTAGTGAGGGCCCCGGTGTTGGGGACTTTTGCTGTGGAGTGCTCCGGTCCCTTTGATCGGTGAGTGGGTATGGGCAGTGCCCTTGTGTGCGGTCAAGGTCACACACCTCTGAGTGCAACAGATTCTGGATTTGATGTGGCCCTGGACAGATGAATGCTCAGAAATCATTCAACAGGGATATCCAGCCCCCTGGTGGGGGGTGTCCCAAGAACACAGGAACAGGTCTGGGTTTGGATGGGTTCATGGGTGATGTTTCACATGGGATAGATGGATGAATGGATGGATACATAAGTGGATGAATGAACTAGTGATGTTTTGGGTGAGATGGATGGATGGGTGAACAGGTGGACAGGTGGACAGACCTATGGATGAGTGGGTGAACGGATGGGCGAACCGACGGATAGGTGGTTTTTCAGGTAGGATGGATGGAACTTTTGGGACAGGTTGGGCAATTGGAGGACTGGGTGATAACAGGCAGGTGGCTTGTTCCCCCAGCCCCAGCCTCAGCTTGCTCTCCCTCCTTCCCTGCAGGCGCCCCAGACCCCACAGCCGGTGCAGGCATTGAGGACGCTAACTGCTGGCACCTGGACGAGGAGCAGATCCAGGAGCAGGTGAAACAGCTGCTCTCCAACGGCGGCTACTACGGCGCCAGCCAGCAGCTACGCTCCATGTTCTGCAAGGTGTGCGCAGGCTCAGAGGGCAGGGGTCTAAAGGCCCTGACGCCAGCACTCCTTCCTCACCGCCCCATCCCTGGCACAGGTGCGCGAGATGCTGCGGATGCGGGACTCCAACGGGGCGCGCATGCTGATCCTCATGACTGAGCAGTTCCTGCAGGACCCACGCCTGGTTCTGTGGCGGCAGCAGGGCGCAGGCATGACAGACAAGTGCCGGCAGCTGTGGGATGAGCTGGGTAAGGGCTGGGCCCTGGAGCACGTAGGCAGTGGGGCCGAGGCTCCCATGGGGGGTCTGGCTTCTGGCTCTTGCCACCCCCAACCCAACATTAGGGTCTGGCCCCTGAATCCTTTGTCCATTCATCAGCACCTTCAGCGTCCAAGACACTGTGCTGAACACTGGAGCTAGAGCAAGAAACGAGAGATTAAACACCTGCCCTCACAGAACTGAGACCTGATAGGGGAGACAGACCAGAAAACACCACATACCCATTCGACCAGGAGTTCACATCTTCTTTTCCATAAGGGCTGGATAGTCAGTAGTTTCAGCTTTGAGACCATTTGCTCTATGTTATGACTTCTCAGTTTTGCCCGTTGTAGTAGTAAAGCTCCCGCAGACCCACGTCACTGAGCAGGCACTGCAGCATTCCCGCAAAACTTTACTTGCAAACACTATTCATTTGAACTTCATATCATGTTCACAGGTCACAAAATACTATTTCCCACCCACCAGTTTAAAATGTCAAAATAAATCTGAGCTCACGGGCTGTTCAAAAACAGGTGGTGGGTTTGATTTCCTCCACTGGCAGTAGTTTACTGACCCCTGTGGTAGATCATGATAAATGTGATAGGGGGAAAAAAAAACAGTGGGAAGAGCCTGATGACCGGGGTTCAAATCCTGCCTTGTGACGTCCAAGCTGTGTGACCTTGAGCAACTGATCTTACCTCTCTATTCTGTGAAGGGACTAGCAGTTTCAGAGGCTGGAGATGAGAGTTAAGCACAGAGCAGTGCCCAGCATACAGTAGCCGCTTCTTAAGTGTGTGCTGCTATGATTGGCATGCATGTGACCCCCCCCATGCCCATGTTCACTGTCCTCTCCAGGGGCCCTGTGGGTGTGCGTCGTCCTCAGCCCCCACTGCAAACTGGAGGAGCGGGCAAGCTGGCTCCAGCTGCTTGGCAAGTGGGACAAACTGGACGTGTGCCCCCTGGAAGAAGGCGACTACTCTTTTGATGAGCCCAGCTTACAGTCAACCTCAGCCCTCAGCCCAGGTAGGAGAGGGGTCCCCAAAACCATCACCACTGCCTGTGGCCCAGCCTCCCCATCATGGCGCTTGGGGGAAGGCAGGGGGAGCCCTAGCCCGTGCCTGTCCTCGCCAGGAAGGGGGGTGCCCAGGGCAGGGGAGTGGGCAGCTAAAGGGACAGTGAAGTGAAATACTCAAGACACCTGTAGTTCTGGGCTATTCGCCTGACCCAGGCTCCTCCTAGCCTTGGAGGCCAGGGTTGGAGAAACTGAGATGCTGAGAAGAGACAGGTAAAAAGAGGCAGAGATGGAGAGAGAGAGAAAGAGAATAGAGTTTGGGGAGAGGACGGACAGACAGATAAGAGTTATTTAACTTCAGTCGTCCGTCCATATGAGGGGCTATAACAGCTCCCCTGACAAACACATGCATTATACACACATACACACCTCTGAAGGGCTTCTGTCAGGATTTGATGAGATGACACTGCCCCATCACTGCACCCTGAGTTTAGCCCCAAGTTCACATTCAGTGCAGGGAGCTGACCACAGCCCAACTGTCAGGGCCTCCCTCACCAGGCCACACTGCACCCCTCATACAGGCTCCGAGGAGGAGGAGGAGGAAGAGGAAGTGGCTGCCGGTTCCCGCCACACTGTGTTCGGCCGCGCCCTGCAGGCTGGGTCTCTGCACTGGAGCGATACTCACCTGCAGAAGATCCTGGCCAGTGACTCTGATGGCCCCAGCATCACAAGCAACATGAGCAGTGACAAACCAACCTTCGACTTCCAGGGACACCCAGTCTGGCTGGGCGAGCCCTTTCCCACTGCCTGTGCCCGTGTGGATACCCTACGTGCCCACGGATACCCCCGCCAGGCCCTGCGGCTGGCAGGTGCCATAGTCAACACACTCCGGCTACAGCGGCGACATCAGCTTGAGATCTACAAGCAGCAGAAAAAAGGTGGGCACCAGTATTATCGTCATGTCCTGGGGGTTGTGGCAACCCAGAGGGTCTATGGGTACCGCTCTGTGCCCCACGAGGAAAACTGAACCACTCTAAGGTGTCTTGAGCAGAAAGGGGAACGAGGGCTCGGAATCCCACTGGAAGGGCTGCAGAATTAAATATAAGGCTGCTTAGGTTTAAGAACTTGAACTTCAGATGCACAAAGATAGCAACAAACTGCTGATAGTGAGCTCAGCAGCCTACAGCCCCCGGAGGGGGCAGTCCCCAAGAGGACACCCAGAACCTGCTGGCACAGCATCATGTCTGTACCCTTTGGAGAGCCATACACCTGCTCATGGCTGCTGCAAGAGAATAATGGTCTTATCCTTTCCTACCTTCCACACCTCACACAAAGGAGTCTGGGAAATGTTTCTAAGCTTCCAGCCCCTGCAGTGCAGGGGTGGGTACCAGCCACATGACTTTCGGGAAAGGAACGTGGATTCAGTGTGACTAGATCTTCCGATTTTTCAAGACAGGCCAGAAATCTGGATTATTTGATATGGAATTTCTGATTTTTAATCATGGGCAACAAATTCAAATTTGTGTTAGTTAAAAAACACACTGTGTGGGCCAAAAAAAGGGCATGTTTTTGGACTAGATACAGGGAGCAGGAGGGAGGCCTAGAGTTGGGTTGATGGGTCAGTTATCAGGAAATTAAAAACAGGGTGTAATGGGGAAATAAGAGCTCTGCGACTCAGGCAGAGTCCTGACCTCCTGACCCAGCTTAAATGAATAGGGAAAGCCCCCTAGAGGAGGTGAGTGCTACACTAAGATCTTAATGTCGTATTGGAGTTTCCCAGGAAAAAGGGAGGAACAGTGTTACAGGAAGAAGGAACAGCATGGGTAGGAACCCAGAGGCAAGAGAGAGCACAGCTGTGGAAGGAGACTGGGGGAGGTGCTTCCAGACAGGGCAGGTGGTGACCATGGGGCCCACAAAGCTGGTCCATGGGGTCCCTGAAAGCTGGTCGAGCTTGAGAAAGGTGGGAGGAATTAAGGATTATGAGGATGACAGTGACACTGGTTGGATGTTTCAGAAAGTGCCCAGGTTGATTTCTGTGTCCTGCCAGGCTCAGGTCTGGCTGTGAGACAGGAAGCAAGGGCTGCTACACAGCTCAAGAGACAGAGAAGGTGGCCGCAGCAGGCTGGGCAGGTGGCGGGTGGTCCCTGGGAGATCCGGCCACAGGTGCAGGGAGGAGAAGCCCCCTGCCCCCAAGCTTGGGGGAGGAGGCGAGCATTGAACCCCTCATATTCCCTGCAGAGCTGCTGCAGAAAGGCTATACCTATATCACCAACAAGGAAGGATGGGTGGGCCACCCCCTGGACCCCATTGGCTGCCTCTGCAGGGCGCTCCTGGAGGCCTGTCGCGTGGAGGAGGAAACGCTCGCCCTTTACCCAGGTACCCACATTAGGGACCCCTGGTAGAAGTGGGGATTTCCCTGCCCCGTCTCCCAGGACCCTGACCTGGGAGCATAGTGAGGCCATGCCCCTATCCCTGTCTGCACCCTTGACCTGGCCACGCCCCCTGGCCCGTGCCAGGAGCCAGCAGACCCAGCTTCTCCTGGAAGTGAGGTCACCATAGGCCTGTCTGCTGGTAGAGGTGGGCCACACCCGCTGGTCTCCCCCAGATGCCACCCTCCCGTCCTCATGCTTGAGCTCTAGGTCCACCTCCAGCATCCCTGATGCCCATCTTCCACAGACTCAGGCCCTGAGAAGCGGAAGGTGGCCTACCAGCATGTGCCTGTGTCCGGGAACCCTGGGGAGTCCTACTTGGCGCTGGCACTGGAGGTGGCACTGCTGGGTCTGGGGCAGCAGCGGGCCCTGCCCGAAGGGCTGTATGCCCAGGACAAGGTGGTGCGCAACGAGGAGCAGCTGCTGGCGCTGCTGGAGGAGGTGGAGCTTGATGAGCGGCTGGTACAGGTGCTGCGCAAGCAGGCGGGGCAGCTGCTGGAAGGTGAGGCCCCGTCCCCACGCCCGCCTGTTTCCAAAGGTGGGGTCCTTTCCCTGTCCCCCTGTGGCTTGGTTGCCACTGGATCAGGAGGCCCGCCCCTCGCCCCGCTTGTTGGTCCTTACCGTCGGGCTCCTACTCCGGCATCTCCGGAAAGGTGAGCTCTAGCTCTAGGCCCCGCCCCCTGGCAGGTGCTGGCCGCGGGTAATTGCCGTGGTGAGGCCCTGCCCCCTTCACATTGGAGCTGATGAGCTGAATCGCTGGTGCGCAGCTGGACTCCTGGCTCTGCGCAACGTCCTACCACTTGAGGCCCTACCCCCTCAAGCGGGCGTGGGGCTCGCTTGGCCCTCCCCTCTGCCCTCCCGCCGCCCCTGGGCAGAGGCAGCACCGCGCCACCCGGAGCGAGTCCTGCCTCCTAGGGTCTCCTCTTATCCGGATTTTCTAGCACTTTTCTGTCCCAGTCCTGCGCCCTCACCCCCAGGACTAATCAAGACCCTGGCCCTAGCCACTCAATCCTGGGGTCGGCTGTCCCCTACGCGGATCCTGGTGCTGCGGAGACCCGGGGAGGGGCGGAAGTGAGCCCTCACCTGGGGGCTGAGCTCAGGCTGCCTGTGCAGGAGGTCCCTTCAGCGGCTTTGGAGAGGTGCTGTTCCGGGAGAGCGTGCCCATGCACACCTGTGCCCGCTACCTGTTCACTACGCTGCTGCCCCATGATCCTGACCTGGCCTACCGCCTCGCGCTGCGGGCCATGAGGTGAGGACAGGGGGCTGGGCAGGATTGGAGGGTGGGAGGTGACCTCCGAGCCCTTCCTCTCACCTGAACTCACAGCTTCGGTAATTCAGCCCTCACACGCTGGCATTTCAGGGTGCCTTGTGCTTTTGATTATTAAATGGAAACGTGTAATACCACTTTGAATTTGACAGATACCCACATGGCACAAAATTCAATCCTTTTCTAGGCAGTTTTGTCCCAAACCGACTCAAGCCTCTCTGGAAGTACACAGGTTACCAATTTCTTATCTGTCCTGCCAGAGTTGAGATTTCTGCAAACCTGTAATCTGGTGATTGAAAGTCAGTCTTCCTTTTATACCCAAGGTACATCCTTTGCCTATTGTTTGCATCTTGTTTTCACTGAACCTTGCATCTTAAAGGCTTGATTCTCTCATATAGCACGTGAACCACAGGAAGGATGCACCGTAAAGAACCTATTTGAGACTGATAGACATTTATGCCATTTCCAAAAAAACACGTTGCAGTAAATAACCCCAGCTTTTCAGCTTTGCAAACTCACAGCATTGCTGGCCCGAGAGGGGAGACTCTGGCCAAGGCAGGAGGCCTCCCGGAGCGGATGGGGTCTCCGGCCTTGCCTCACTGTGGGCTCGTTTCTCCCTGTCCTCGCAGGCTGCCTGTACTGGAGACAGAGTTTCCTGCTGGGGAACCTCACCCCAACCTGCTAAACTCCATCGTGAGCAACCACTTCCCCCGCTGGTTCATCCTTGGCCACCTGGAGACACGCCAGTGCGAGCTGGCCTCTGCCATGCTGACAGCTGCCAAGGGTGAGGATGGCGGTGGCCCCCCAACCCCCTGTCCCTCCTCTGCCTCCTTTCCCTCATTCCTCCTCCCTTCTTTCTATCCTTTTACCCAATTCCAGTTTCCCTTGACCACTATCTATATGTACCAGGCCCTGTCCCAGGTGCTGAGGAAGCCACAGCAAACAAAACTGTCCCAAATCCCATGTACTGTGTTCTGACATTCCAGTAGGGGCTCATGTAGTAAGTGAGCAGGCAGTAAGTGCTGCAGAAGGAACAAGGCAGGTTGACATTTAAGCCAAGAAGTGAAGGTGAGTCACGGCAGAGCAGTGCCAGTATCTCATACCTTAGCTCAGGCCACCATAATGAAATACCACAGACTGGGTGGCTTAAACAACAAATATTTATTTTCTCACAGTTCTAGAGGCTGGAAGCCCAAGATCAGGTGCTCACATGGTCCATTACTGGTGAGGAACTCTCTTCCTGGCCTGCAGATGGCCACCTTCTTGCTGTGTCCTCACATGGAGGGAGGCTGGTCTCTCTTAGAAGGACACTAATCCCATCATGGGGACCCCACCCTCATGACCTCACCTGAACCTGATTGCCTCCCAAAGGCTCACCTCCAAATACCATCACACTGTGGGTCAGGGCTTCAACATACCAATTTTGGGAGGGCACAGTTGATTCCAGAGCATCTGGGAAGACATTCCAGGCAGAGGGAACAGCCAGTGCAAAGGCTCTGAGGCTGGACTGTGCCTAGTGTGTTTGAGGACCACAGCAGGCCCATGTGGCTGGAGTTGAGGGACAGATTATGGAATCTGGGCAAATGATGATAATAGTAATAAAAGCCCACACGTGTGTATAGCTCTGGCCTTGTTAAAGCCTTTACAAATACGGGCTCACCATGGCCCTGTGAGGTGGGTACCTTTGCGTTAGTACCCATTGTACAGATGGGGCAGCCACAGAGAGGGAGGTGGAGTAACTTGATGAGGGTTGCACAGCTGGCTAGTGGCAGGGCGGGGACTTGAACAAATCCTGGTATTCTGCGTCCAGAATTGATGCCCTTGATGATTAGGGATCCTCAGGTGGCTTTCTGCTGGGGAGAGGAGAGAAGAAGAGAGTATCAAGAGTGGTCTGGATCCTCACAGGACCATAGCCAGGGGCATCTCCACCCATGCGGGCTCACACGTGTGCACCTTGGTGAAGGACCCTATGTGGACAGGTCAGGCTGCGGCAGGAGCTTGGGCAGGTATGCCAATGGTGTCCTCCCTCCCTTCAGGAGACCCCAAGTGGCTGCACACAGTACTGGGCTCCATCCAGCAGAATATCCACTCACCTGCCCTGCTTTTCAAGCTGGCACAGGATGCCTGCAAAACGGCCACTCCGGCCAGCGCTCCACCAGACACCACGCTGTTGGGCATCGCGCTGGAGCTGGGCCTGCAGGTGAGGGCAGCGGGGAGGACCGGCAGGAGGACGCCTGCGGAGGGCAGGGCCTGAGCAGGGGGACTGCCTCTGAGGGCGGGGCCTGAGTGTGAGTGGCACCTCTGGAGACGGGCCTGTATGTTACGGTGACGTTGCTGAGGAGGCAATTAAGGAGCTTTCTTGGGGGCGGAGCCTGTAGGGATACCTGGCCTGAGGGTGGGGGTCACTGGAGGGGCAGGGCTTTGGGAGGGTCCTAAAGGGTCAGGAGCCACCTCTGGGGCTAGCCCCAGGGTCTGGGCCAGGGTTGTTCCGCAAGAGCCAGTCGGAAGCCCCGTGGGTTCACCTGGTAGGTGAGGAGTCACCTGCAAGGTGTGGGGCCTGGCCGGGGGGCCCTGAGTCAATTAGCAGATACCGGTCCCACGGGAGCGGGGCCTCAGAGGGCAGCCAGAGGAAGAAAAAGACAATAAGGAACAGTTTGGGGCAGGCTTGCAGGGTCGGGCAGGAGCTTCCCAGGTAGCGTTGACAAGCAAAGGGCCCACCGGTGGCAAAATTGGCCGCCGACAGCCTCCTCGGGGTGGGGGGTGGGCATGATGGGGGTGCTTCCTCAGAGGTGATCCTGCTCCTTAGGGAGCTTCCAGAAGGTAGGGTCCACCAGACAGGACCTGGGGGTGGTGCCTCCAGGGAGAAGCAAGCAAGGAAAGGCCTTAACAGGGTTGGGACTTGAAGAAGGTGAGGCTGTACTACAGGGCAGGTGCTTTGTTTGGGGCTGCAGGGGGGAATCTGACATGAAGCATGGACTTTTCCAGAGAGGACGGACAGCTTGGTTTGTTGTCGGGGTAGGATCCTGGGGCCTCAGAGTAACACCAAAGCAGTAACAGTAACGGCTGGTGTCAGCTGAGCACTTTGGAGCACTATATAAAGAGCTCTACTCACATAACTGTGTTCAGTCCTCACAACTACCACATGAGGTGCTGTTTTTATCTCCCATTTTACAAAAGAGGAAACTGCAGCCCAGAGAGAGGAGACCACTTGCCCAGACTGTGTGTATGTATGGCTTACTGATACAACCCTTGAGTTTCAAGCCTCCCTGGACCCCTCAGGATCCCAGACGCCCCTTCTATAGGCCCATGCAAAGTCTTGGGTAAACCCCCTTCTCTCCTGCCTCCTGTCCTGCAGGTGATGCGGATGACCTTGAATACCATGACCTGGCGGCGGAGGGAGATGGTGCGCTGGCTGGTCAGCTGTGCCACCGAGATCGGTGAGAGTCCCCAAGGAAAACTGCCACCCACCTCCGTGTGGAACTAGATGGGCATGAGAGAGAAATGGCCTTTTCCCTGGGTCCTACCCGCGCTCAGGGCTAGGCCGGGAGGGAATGTCGGGCAGGGGCACTGAGCTGGAAAAAGGCCTGGAGGCCGGCCAGTTAAAGTGACTTGGAGAAGGGACAAGGCCTCCAAAGCCTAGCCCCCCACACACAGTTCCCACCCAGTCCAGCTGCCCCCGCACCTTTGGAAAGGGAAAATGCATCTCTGCCCACCTTGGGCTGGGGACAGAGGAGGTGCGTCTTCAGCCCCAGCCTGTGGGGGTGGCGGTATCAGGGTAAACCTATGCACCCACGTACATGTACCTGCCCCTCTTCCTGACCAGTGTCACCCTGTCACCTACCCAGGCCCACAAGCCCTGATGAACGTCATGCAAAACTGGTATTCTTTATTCACACCGGTGGAGGCAGCCACCATCGTCGCCGTGACAGGCACCACTCATGCCACGCTGTTGCGGCTGCAGTTGGATGCGCCCCGGCGGGAGGAGCTCTGGGCCTGCGCCCGCACCCTGGCTTTGCAGTGCGCCATGAAAGACCCACAGAACTGTGCCTTGCCCGCCCTCACCCTGTGTGAAAAGAACCATGCGGCCTTCGAGGCTGCCTATCAGATTGTGTTGGACGCCGCGGCCAGCGGCCTAGGCCATGCCCACCTCTTCACTGTGGCCCGCTACATGGAGCACCGTGGCCTGCCGCTGCGGGCTTACAAGCTGGCGACACTGGCCCTGGCGCAGCTCAGCATCGCCTTCAACCAGGACAGCCACCCCGCTGTCAACGATGTGCTCTGGGCCTGCTCACTCAGCCACTCGCTGGGCCGGCACGAGCTCTCAGCCATCGTCCCCCTCATCATCCGCAGCATCCACTGTGCCCCCATGCTCTCCGACATCCTACGCCGCTGGACCCTCTCAGCACCCGGCCTGGGTCCCCTGGGGGCCCGCCGGGCTGCCAAGCCACTGGGCACAGACCGGGCACCGCTCTCTCAACTCCTAGATGCTACGGTGGCGGCCTACATCACCACCAGCCACTCCCGCCTCACACACATCAGCCCTCGGCACTATGGCGACTTCATCGAGTTCCTGGGCAAGGCCCGCGAGACCTTCCTACTGGCGTCTGATGGGCACCTCCAGTTTTCCCAGTTCTTAGAAAACCTCAAACAGACGTACAAGGGCAAAAAAAAGCTCATGCTCTTGGTGCGGGAGCGTTTTGGCTGAGGGGCGGTGGGCAGGCAGTGAGGGAAACACCCCTCCTATTGCCCCTGCCTCAGTGACACTCGCTTTCCACTGGGGGCCTCAACACTGGAGGCTCATATGGCATTTCAGTATTAAGTCAGGAAAGGGGCCCGGCTGGAGCTGGCTAGGTCATCTTGCTTGCTGTTCCCCCCAGACCCTGCTGGAGTGGGGTGGTGTCCTGCCATGTGCACGCCTAGAGTACGCGAGACCCAAGGATCAGAAGCCATACCACCACCCAGAAGCCTGAAAGGGGGTGTGTGCTCAGGCAGCTGGTATGACCCTGTCTTAGCACCCCAAAAGCAATAGGCAGGCTCTTCCTCCCCAAACTAGCAGGCGTGGCTTGGACTAGGTGTCAGGGGGCTGGGAAGTACGACTTGCCAGAAACCAGCTCTCAAAGTCAGTGTAACAGACCCTTCTGGCACCCTGCTCTGGGTGGCTTAGGGGGCTTGTATAGGGCATCTAAACCTCCTTTAGGACCCTCCCCTCACTGCCTCAGGGGCCCCATTCTGCAGGCCAGCACCCCCTCCAGGCTGCCCAGCTGGGACCAATGGCTCACTTCCACTGAAGGATTTGAAGAAAGAGGCCTCAGGCTTCAGCCACATACCTCATCCCCCCATCCCCAGCCAGCCAGGACTCCCATTCCTGTGGGTGCCAGGGTCCCAGGCAGGGACCATGGCTTTGGGGGGGGTCATTGCTGTCCCTCCCCTTAACTGCTAGTCACTGGACATACAACTCAGGAACTGAGCCAGGCTTATGCTGTCCTCCAAACCCCGTGTCGGGAGAGGAGGGCCAGGGACCCCTGCCCCTGCTATAGAAAGGAAAGAGGCTGGCATCGTGGCATTTTCTGGCTCTGTCCCCCTTTTCTTCCTCTGTCTCCCTGCGCCACTTCTTCATCTTTCTCTCTCTCTCTCCATTCAGCCTGTCTTTCTATTTGTGTCCCTAAGTCCCAGCTGATGTATCTTTGGCCTCCCTTCCCCCTCTCACTTTGGCCCAGGGAGGAGGGAGGAGAGTGCCCCACCCCTAATCAGCCCCCTCTATCTTCTCTTGTAATTAAGGACAAAGATGTGTCATTTTGTAACTTTTTTCTATTTATTGAACCGTATATTGTATTTCCTTTTCCTTTTTTTTTTAAAGATTGAACATAGCTTTTTCTTTTGAGAGACAGGTGTGTTCCCTCCACAGAAAAAATCTCTGGCCTCTGCTGCTCTGAACACAGCTTCGACCAAGGGGTGGAATGGGAGCAACTGCTGGGTTCCTCCAGTCATAGTTTGAATAATAGCGGATCAGTCCACGGAGCTCACCATGAGTAAGCTCTGCACTGAGGGCTTTACACCTGTCACAACAGCCTTACGAGTTGGGAGGATTATCATTACTATTTTACACACAAGAAAAAGCAGACTGCAAAGTTTAAGGAAAGGACACCCATTTGGGGAAGCGACAGAGCTTGATTCAGCACCTTTGTGGGGCCGCTGGGAATGGCCACTAGGGGGTGCCCTGGCCACAGACACCCGCTATTAAGGGTACTTGGCTCCAAGTTTCTGAATACCGCCAGAGAACGTGTCAGGTGCTAGGTGAGGAAGACGCCCCCGCGCCGAAGGTGGGAATCCAGGTCTTGACTAGGCCTTGGTGGGTGGGCTCTGGCAGCGGCAGATGAGGGGGCGTGGCCACTGGGGCGTGGCCAGGGTTGTGTCTGGGGCCCTCGCTGAGGCGCCCACTCCCCAAATAGAGTGCAGAGTCTGGGGATCGGTGAGAAGGCCCTCGGTTGCTTTCCTTCCTGGCTTCCCGGGAAGCAGGATATCCCTTGGGACTTTACTGCCTTTGAGGACTGATGACGGTTGGACAGTGTCTGGGTCACTTGGGGCCGGGCAGCCGAGAACAGAGGCTTCCGGGGAGGCGGAGCCGCTAACTAAAGGGCGCAGGGACAACTGTGGGCGGTGCTTCGGCGGCGCTGGGCTTAGCGATGGGCTCGTGGCACCACTCTCCTCTTGAGGGAACCAACTGGAGACGGATCCACCTCTTGACCCGCCTCTCGCATTCCCGCAGGTATGAGGGCGGACCCAAGCTGGCCGCCGTGCTTCTTAGCGCCGCCTGGAGGCCTGGGTGGTTAGAGAGACTTGGGGCACCCCTTTCTGTGTCCCTCAGGTCTCAGTCATCCATAAACGACCTATCGGGCCCCGGGATTTCCCTTATATCATAAGCACTCCATAAGCCCAAGTTCCCCACTCCATTCGCCCAGCATTCTCAGATACCCAGCACCCCAAATCTTCCCCCAGGCCTGTGTTATCTCTTACGTCTCACTCATGCCCAAATGTCACTAGCTCAAGACCCTCAGGTCCCAGTTATCTCTAAACGTCCAGCGTTTTCGTCAGGGTTACTCCCAACCCTAGGACATCCCCCAAGTTCACCTTTCCATGCCCAGGCACCTTCTCCCATGTGACTAAATTGCTGTTTTCCTCAGACCAGGTGGGGCGGAATGGGGATCCTTTGACGTCAGGAGCTCAGGGTGCCAGAACAGTAAATTCAAACCAACTCTCCCCACCCAAAAGGCCAGAACCCAGGGATGGGAGGTGGGAATGAATCACAAACCACCAGACCTTCAGGAATGAGGCAGGGGCAGTTTTTATTTAATTAGACAACAGGTTTAACACACAGCAGCGGCTCTACCCTGAACTTCTGTCTGTCCTGACACCAGAGGGGAAGGGACGCGCTGGGCCAGCCCTGGAGGGCTTCACCCTGCTCCCCAGTTCCACCCCAAAAAGAGCCCCATCCCAGATGATAGTGGACAGAGTTTCAACTTTTCCATGCCCTGGGAGAAGTGCTTGTGTTCTTTCTGGGCCCACACAGACCTCATTCCCCCCACCATGTGCTGGGAGGGTGTGACAGCTCCTGTCCCCAAGTTAGGAAGCTACAGGGTTCAGGGAGAAGGGGCCAGGCACATGCAGGTCAGGACAGCCTGGTTCCGGAAGCCCGGAGTTGGCACTTAACGGTCTGGGGGCCCAAGGCAGCTTCCTCTTGGGTAACTAGCTGCTGGGAAGGTGCATGCCTGGCCCTCACCCCCACCAGACTTGGGAGAGGAGGGGCCAAGCTTCCAGGATGGGCGGGTCATCCAGGTGGGGACACGGCTGTCTTTCCTTTTTCCATGGAAAGGCCACCCCCCTCCTACCTGTTCTCCCTGGGATCGCAGCCCAGCTATAGGCAGGACTGGGGGGGTGTCCCCAACTACAGAGCTGGAAGGCGGGACCTACAGCAAACAGCTGGGTCTACCCACCCCATCCCAGGCACCATCCCTCCCCAGTGCCTCCTCCAGACACAGGCCTGGGTCTGGGTCCTCGTCTCTTGCCCCTAGGCATCAGCTCACCCAAGGGAGGCAGGGGCCACAGGCTTCAAGGGGGCTCGACTCCTGTTCCTGCTGAACTGAGCCAGTGTGCACAAATCAACTGTGTTTCAGCTCAGTAGGCACGGGAGGCAGAGCCCAGGGAGGCCTGGGCAATGGAACAGTCAGGGAGAGAGGCGGCAGGGCTGGAGGAGGCAGGGGCGCAGGGGGCGGAACTTAGCCACTGTGAACACGACTTAGTGTGGACTCTGCTCACAAGCAGCTAAGCCCTGCTCCCCAGGCCAGACACCAGTGGCCGGGGCCTCTCTGCTGCCCCATCCCTATCCCCAGGCTGTGTCCTTGGCAGTGGCGGTGGCAGCCCCAGAGGCAGGGCTCAGGGTCGGTTGGAAATCCCTGGCAATGTGATTTGTGACAGGCAGCAAATCCCATCCCCAGGAACCCCAGCCGGCCATGGCACAGGGGTGGGGGGACGCCGGGTGGGGTCAGTGGCTGGCACCTGGGGGAGACAGAGAGAGAGCAAAGGAGATCATGAGGTTTGAGGACATCTGACTGCAGGTCCCCACCTGCTGCCACCCTCTGAGACCTTACAGGGACGCCCTCTCCCCTATGCAGCAGCAGCAGCTAAGGGAGAGCTGGGCCACCAGCTAGACGCCCCCTGCCCCAGTCATGCCCTCAATCCTAGGCCTGGAGAAGTAGAGGTGCCTGGACGAGGCTGCAGGAACGCCCAGATCCAGGTCTCCTGTTTTCCTGGCCACCCCCCCAGCCCTGGGCAGGCTAAATGGGGCCATGAAGAGAGGAAGCCAAAAGGGTGGCGGGCAGGCGGCTGAGGAAGTGAGCTCACCCCAGCTGGCGCCACTTCCTAGAAGCCTGAAGGGCAGGAGGAAACCACCAGGGCCTCCCCCCTGCCATGGCCCCGTCTCCTCGGCAGCCAGGCCTCACCCGCACCCCACCAAAGCGGATGCTGGCAGTGGGCACCCAGCTTTCCCCACCACCCTGGGGCACACACACCCAGGACACCGGACCCAGGCTGGAGGGGTAATTTCCCAAATGCCTTCCAAGCCTCAGTTTCCCCATCTGTAAAATAGAGTCAAGGGCCTCTACCTCACAGCACAGTGAGGTGGCTTCTTGGAGAGACTTTTAGTTCAAGAGCTCAGCATGGGTCTCAGTGCAAAATAAAGACTTGGAGCACCTGGTTTGCAAATTAAGAATTTCAAGGCATTGGCAGCTGAGCATGAACGAAGCTCCTAGTCCTTCTGAGGCAGGGAAGACTCAGAACTGCACAGGTCACACCCATGAGGCCGGCTGGCCCTGTGTTCAGTAAGCGAAGGTCTTGCTTATGTTAAGAGCCCTGGGGCTAGGAGACCCCAACTCCTCAGCCAGTTCAGCAGGATGTGAACCCCAGCTCTGGTACTTCCTAGCTGGGTGACTCTGACAAGTCACTCAACCTCTCTGGGCCTCCATTTCCCCATCTGCAAAGCAGGGATAATGTCATGGTAAGGATCCCGTGAGTGATACAGGTAATTAGGATGGGGCTACACTGTCATTAGCCAGGCAGAAACAGGAAAGAAGGTGGAAATGAGAACTCCACACACTGGTCGGCCTCCAGTGCCAGATCTGGTGTCATCCTCCTTCAGGAGACAGGTGGAGAGAGATGTCCTGCTCTGTCTGCCACCCCTCATGTACACACACACATACACCAACAACCCGCTGACCCACTGGGTCCTAGCCCAGTCTGGTCCCCTCAGGGTCTGGGGGAACCAACTGAGAACAGACGGAGCCCCGCAGGGTGGCCAGCCTCCCTGGGCCGCCTCCGGAAGTGAGACAGCACATTCGTGTCCCAGGGACAAGAACGGGAAGGGCGGCCATTTGGCCAGGCCTGTTTCCTGTGGGGTTTCCCCTGCACAGAGCCCGGGCCTGGGCCAAAGCCACTCCCCATCCCACAGGCACAAAAGGCCTGGGTCCCCAGTGGAGGGGGCACTGCCACACAGGTGCCCAGGAGCTGGGCCCCAGGTGCCTCTCAGGCTCATGGGAGATGATGTCTAGGGAAGGCCAAGGTCCTGGAAGCTGGAGGCATTGGAGGAAGGTGGGTCCCTGGGCCAGAGGGTGCAAAGCGGGCCCCAGGCCACAGCGATGTATGCATGTATGCCGGAGTATACTCTCCAGACAGGGCGTGTAGGCCCAAGACGCACACAGGCAGGCACACTGCCATTCCCCCAACCCCATGCTCCAAGAATGAATCAGGGGCAGCTTCTGCCGGGGGCGCCACCACCACCGCCCCCAAGCCTGGTCCCCAAATACTTTCCACCCTCTCAGAGCAGCTGGGATCGGAAAATACCAAGGGCTTCAGGCCCCGCCCTGCCCGCTACTGCCTCCCGCCCTCCCAAGCCTGTCACTAACGCTTTGCCTAATGGGCCCAGACTCTCCACAGAGGCTCCCTGGGCCGGGCCCCAAGCCAGCCGCCAACCTGGGCTGCCCAGCCGAATGCCGCCTGTCCAACAGCCCCCCACCCTTTACCCCAGCCCTAGTGCAGCCACCATAACAACTGTCCCAACAGGCCACCCTCAGAGGCTGGCACCCAGTGGAGGCCGGCAAGACACTGGCAAGTGGGTGGGCCCTGCTGCCCACCAGAGCTGGTGGGGGAGGGCAGTCCCAGGGAGGGGTGAGTGAGGTCTGAATCACTTGTTATAAATAGGGGAACCATGCAAGTCACATCCCAGCCCCCACTGCACCCGGCCACACCACACCATGCTCCTGCCTTCAACTTTAATCTCCCTC